CTCTTTTTTTTCGGTTTGGTCTGGGGGGGGGGGGTTTTTTTTTTTTTTTTAGGGGGGGGGGGGGGGGGGGGGGGGCGGGGGGGGGGGGGGGGGGGGGCCCCCCCCCCCCCCCCCCCCCCCCCCTCACCAGTGCTCGCCTGCCGCGAAGAGATCCCAGTATGGGTCTGTTGAGTGGGTCACGGGGGATGCCGGAACACTCTCAGACATCTCCCTTTTTTCTTTTCTTATATACAGCTTTTAGATGAGATGTGATGCTGGTAGAGCTGTGAATCGAGTTTGAGGGACTAATTCGGTGGTTACTTAGCTGCTTGTGAAAAATCTGTCCCTGAAGCTGATTAGAGATGAATGGTGAGTCTGCTGCTTGGCATGCCGTTTGGAAGCAATAGTTATTCACTATTCATCTACCCATTATTCCGTCTCAAGGGCAGGATTTTTGTATAAGTCACTAGTCGCCTTATAACGAATTCAATCGCGTGATTGTAAATTATTTGGTGTAGCAAAAGTTTCGTTTTTGATACACTTTCCTTTACATTTGATATAAAAATGCAGATTTTACACAACTGTATTAATCAATTGGATTTGTGAATACGAAAGTGCGGTTTATCCTGCCGAAATAAGCAAGTCACATGGTAAAATCTTTCTCCGCAGCAATCAAATAACGATCCATTAATTAAATGTTAACAGAACAACGCGAGTAACGAAAATTTGGTGACAGTTTTGAACACAAAATGTAGCTAAGAATAGAAATAACGCGAGTAACGCGATTTTTGGTGACAGCGTGGGAAGGGATAGAAAATACGCGCCCTGTGGCGTAGAAAAAGTAACACGATTTTAGTAACAGCAAAATGTATATAAGGAGCCGCTCCGACCGTCAAAAATCCTCATGTTGAAGATGTTGAAATTGTTGATGTTATGAAATAAATAATATTCGATACTGAAGTATTCGGATATAATAAACGATCGATCTGATCTTTATCCTTTAATTATTATGAAACCTTTTTACTTTCATTATTTCTATTTCTATCGTTGCGAAAACTAAGCTTTTTGACTTAACTATTGGCAGTAGATTGGTAACGACCCGTAGCTGTATTTAAACGTTAGTTGTCAGCGCAATAGATCGGTAACGACCTGTGGTTGCAGTAAAGCAAGAGTATCTCGATTGATAATTTAAATTCTTTGTTGTTATAATTAGATAAGTGACATTCCTTGCCTAGTCAAAACACTAAATCGAAGTTCGCCCTTGTTTAAAAATTAGTATTAAAATTTTCCCTTCGATTCTGCGGTAGATAAATTGTCGTTGTTTATTTATCGTAGGTACCTTTATTTACGTGCGTAGATACGAGTATAGGATAAATACATCGTATAGGGAGTGAAAGCAAAGCGCGCACATAAATAATATTGTCACTTTCAGTTAGTTCAGCCTTAAGTGAAGCAATCGTTGTAGTAAGGGCAGCGACAAGAGCTAAATTGTGAAAACCCCCTCTCGGCAGAACACACGTACGTAATTAATTGCTCTCCCAACCCTATTTTGGACGCCGACCGTAACACACTCTCTGAAATTGGTGGAGGGTACACAAGTTGGAGACTTATGGTATATACAGTATGTCAAAAAAAAAACCGGAATAAAAGTTTTATTCATTGTCTCAATGAATGGATCAAATTAAATGGTTTATAGCTTATTTGAAAAGTGAAAACCAACATATTTATTAAACAATTCTCACTCCATGATTTTCAATAATAAGCTCACAGCGATGTCTCATTGAGCCCACAAGATTTTTTATAACAGTATCCGGGATACTTCTCCACTTCTCCACCATAAATTGCTCCAGTTCATTGATATTTTTGGGCATCCGTTTCTCCACATTACCCTTCACAAATTTTCAATAGAATTTAAGTCAGGACTATTGGATGGCCAGTCCATGACTACTGGGAGCATTCTCATCAAGAAAGGCTTTAGCAAGACGACCCGTATGCTGGGGGTCATTGTCCTGCTGAAACCTCCAGTTTTTTTTTTAGCTTTTTTATATTATTATGTATCGTTGAAAGTGGGATGTTTGTACGTGCATGCAATTACGCACTCCCTCGTTCCACAAATATAAAAAAGTTTGCGTTGTAATTCTTTCTTGATAGCAGACATTACGCAATGTTTTATTCAAAAAGTTACATATGTATGCAATAAAAAAGTAGTTTAACTTTATCCCTAAATCGTTTTCTTTGTTTTGAATCAAACGCGTTGCATATTGGTTCCAAATTGGACATGCTAGACGCGTTTTTGTGATGCGTACAAATTTCCGGGTTTTTTTCCTACACACTGTATTAGTACCTGGGTATAAATCAAAAACTGCCTTCTGAAACTGTTGGAGGGTACATACGTTGGAGTTTTACGGTATATCTTTACAATAGTGTAGCAAACGATACCATATCTCAATAAGAAGTTGTCCAGAACTTAATTGACAAGTTATCAATGATTCTCCATTAAGTGCTGCCGAATATATATCAGTTGATAATAATGTCATAAGTAACAATTTGGTGACAGATGAGGAATTATCTCTTTATTTTCTCCTATAGACGAAGAGGAGAATGACTCGTCACATCTTTTTACCATTTTGACTATAACTGCATTTGAAACAGCGTTTAATTTTCTTCAGCAAGGTAATATAGAGATAGATTACAATAACCTCAAAGTTTTTAGTTCATTGAAACGGAAGGTAGAGTTACATAATGTTACTAATCAGAAACAAATAATGCTCCCCCCTACTGGCCTTTTCCCCGACCATGGGTTTTGCCAGTATAGTTTCCCCATACTAACGATCGTTTTATTTCTGTAGAACGAACGGACATACTTGGTTTGGGTAGTAGCACTCATTAGGAGTAGCTCTGTCTTTTTGCTTTCTACGTGGCATAGTTAGGTAGAATAGATTTTTTTTTCTTCTCTCCCTTAGACATAGCTCGTCGAAAGACACCCCCCTTCTCAGTCTTGTCACTTGTATATAATAATATATGACTCGAAAAACAGCTTTAGCGGTCCACGTAGCTGTGCTGATAAAGGGCCCACCAAAACAATTATTTTATAAAATAGTAACAAGAATTTAATCTCCAGAAAGGCAATCGTAGTTTATTTATATAAAAAATACACACTGTATAATGTCATAGCCCAAATAGAAGATACAAGCTGTTAACTTAACTGTATATTATCATTATAGACATGCTCTCTCTTTTTCTTTTTTTTTGTTGTTATTTTTGTTTGACGTCTTTTTCACGTTTCTCATTAATAAAATGCTCTCTCCCGGTCGCAAACCGGAATTTCTGCCTTTTCTCAATAGATATTTATTTAATTAACAAAATCAGGATGAATATTATTCTAATCTTCATTCGCAAGTACTCGTCTTTTCTGCCTTCACTGAAAGTCAGAAGAATAATCTTAGCAATAGTAAAACCACCTCATAGATAAGGGAAAAAATCAACTCACAATCCCAAAAATAAAATAATCTGATACCATAGACGATTTAACACTCGATAACTTAAAAGGCCGAAACCATTCCTTGTGAGTATACCCTTCAAATGCCGGAACGAAAACTTATTAACGGTCCTCCAACACATAACTACGTGAGCCACTTAGATGCCATTTTTTTGACTCGATCGTTCACATATTTTCAACCCATAACTTTGCAAAAAGACATGGAAGGTGCCTCAGGGACGAGTTTACCGTTCTCATGACCTTATTGAGCAATGTCCATTGCAAATCCCAGCCTCGAGACGCGAGGGATATTTTTTTAGTGACACACGAATTTGTGATAGTGTCCGTAAGATCTCCGTCTTGTCATTTTAAACGTTTCCATATAACATAAAGTATGTCATATATCATATTTTTTTCTCGTTAACCCTCTTTGCCTCGGTTCCGCCCTTCATTTAATGTCTACTATACTCTCACAATAATTTTTGTTATAAAGGTACATATTGCTTCCTTAACCATGCTGACCAGGCTAGTGTTCAAAGGTGCAACAGAAACAATATCGAAGACAATGCCCTTACGTGTCCCGCAGATAAGTTCTCGCTCCATCACCACCACACCATCGTTGGCATTCAGAGTCGGTGGTTTTGGCGTTCGCGCGAAAGTATTCGAAAAACATGTCCATGCAAATCCTCAAAATACGACTAGTGTCAGTAAAATATCATATATTTCTTATGGAGTATTAACTGCAACTTTCGCTACTATTGGTTGGTATGTTTATCAGGAGAGACTACGCCATAAGATAGAAACCCCCCCAGAGACGAGTGAGGAAATCACAACGGTTTTAAGGAAAAATGAGACTTCGCAACCGATCAATAATACCAAATGGCGTCTTGAGACAAACCAAATACGTTCCAACAATCCTTGCGAAGACGTATGTACGACTAAAATCTATCATACTAACAGCGGAAATACTCGATTCTATGTCGGATTATACGACGGACATGCTGGTTGGCAGTGTTCGCAACGGCTGGGATCAGATCTTATCCCGCGGGTGGATTCGGAAATCGATAAAATCAGCAAAGATATTTTACCGACTCCCGACGGACCCCAGGAAGTAATTGGAGCAATTGAGAGAGCGTTTGTAAATTTCGACCGTGAAATTTCAATAGAAGCTATAAAACGAGCAGTCGACAAAAAACCTGCAGATAAACGATGTTTCTCGGATCTTTTGACCGCTATGTCAGGGTCTTGTGCAATATTGGCTTACATAGACGTGAATAATAAGGACTTGTATATTGCATGCAGCGGAGATTCGCGGGCTGTTCTCGGTAGAAGACAAGGTGGAAAGTGGACTACATTGCCCTTGAGCTTCGATATGACTGGGAGTGAATTGCGAGAAGTAGAAAGATTACAAGCTGAACACCCAGGAGAAGATGTTATATTTAAAGGAAGGGTGTTTGGTGGTTTAATGCCGACGAGAGCATTTGGTGATGCAAGGTATAAATGGGACCTTGATCTTCAAAGTAAAGTCAATGATGCATTTCCAGCATTAGCGCGTGAACCACCTGGCGGTTTATTATATAAAACACCGCCTTATGTTACTGCGAGACCTGATGTAAAACATATCAAAATTACACCCGACGACAAGTTTTTAGTTATAGCAACTGATGGTCTCTGGGACAGCATGTCATCTGAAGATGCTGTCGCTCTTGTCGCTGGATTAATGGATGTGAGTTCTCGAAATGAAGATAAGCAAAAAATTTATGTTGATCAACATACAGGAACTCATTTGATAAGGAATGCTTTGGGAGGTTCTGATGAACATAGCTTGAAGACATTGCTAACTGTTCCTCCACCTATGTCGCGGAGGTATCGCGATGATATAACCATTGCCGTAGTGATTTTTGATTAGCATAAATTTCTTATGAGAAAATTTAAATTCGGACAACGATCTGGTAAACGTCTCGTCTAAGAAATATTCCTAGCTGAAGCGAGATGCTGACCTACGTTGTCGGTTGGACTATTCTTGTCCAGAAGAGACTGAGCGTGACTCACACGAATAGAAATTTATTGTATATATCTGGGACATTACCATGTAAAAGCAAGCCTTAGGTTTGTGGTGATTTGTTCTAATTAACTTGGTCTTCTGTATCATCATTTTCCTCATCATGTACAAAGTGTTCATTGAATCTATATTCATCAAGTGAGCCTTCTCTAAATATCCATCCTATCAACATATATTCAGATTTCTTGCCTAATTACATGAATAATTCCTGATCTGCATTATTAAATTTCATACTGAACAAGATGAAAACTACGGGTAAGGAATGAGAACGCAGAAGGAATGCACTTGAATATGAAATCAAAGCAAGAAATGTGCCAACGAAAGCAAGCTAATCCATCCCTAACTATTAATTATAATATTAAAGGATTTCGAAAGTAATAGTAAAGGGCGGATGATTATCCGAACTATGACACAAAAGCAAAGGCTAACAGACCAGTGAAGTTTACGAATTTAGAATGCTTTATCGTTTCTGGTAGTAAATTATCTGGTAACTATCACGTGACGAAATTCTTCCTTCTTTCCAGAGAAAGGTTACCGACTCACACAAACAAAGACACTTTTTGAGCTTCTTTATTAATAAAAACACATCTTAGCGAGATAACGATCTCCTCTCATCGATCAATGTTATCTCTAACCAAAAACCTGCAGAAGCCAGATCAAATAACTTTCTTCTTTTAGAACCCACGAAGGAACGTTGATACACCTCACCTATTCTCAAGAGGTTACAAACAGTAGAGCGGGAAATATGCGATCTTACCTTGTTCACGATGCATGTATAGTATTCTCCAATACAGCTCTTCACTGAGACGTTTTGGCGTTCTCGAGACGGACCGTAAAGACCGTAAGTTTATTTCCTTAATTATCTGTAATCGCCTTGTAGTCGCTTTCTTTCCTCGACTTCTGCTAAGTAGAATAACTGAGTTGTATTAAGTAAACACGTTTGTTGTTTTAGAGGGGCTCGTAATCGCTGACTCGCAGACGTTTTCACGAAGTTTTTCTTTTTCGTGATGATCGCACTATTTTGAAAGAGTCGGGTATTTTCTCGAAATGCATTAGTAACCGATAGACTTTTACAGCTGCAAGTCTGAACTCATGAAAATCTCTCAGACTGAGGTCAAGGATGGATCGAAAACGGAATGTTTTAAAAGTCTCCGAGAAATAGAAGTGTGTGCTAGTTGAGGACCTTCCTGAACAGAGGCAGCAATTAATCGAACTAGTTGCATACAGCCAGAGGATGTCTTACAATACTGACGAAACTAATTTATTTCCGGGTGACATCAATCAGACACTTTAACCAAGCCAACATGGATGGAGGTGACATTTTAAGTAGATAGCAATCGCCTTAAGCGTAGAAATTCTAATTTAGGCGGATAACGCCAGTTCTCATATTCTCAGTGAAGAATTGGATCATCTGACTGTTCATTTTTTTTTGCCATGCCGGAATAATGATTCCTTCAAAACTAATTACCGAAAGGTTATATCTTTAAACAGTATTGGAAGCCATGACTGAAAAAGAAAAAACCTCGCCTCAATATAAAAGAAGACGATTGTCAACTGCTGGGATTTGGGAAGTACAAGAATACAGTATAAAGAGGATCCAGGCCGAGTTCGTAGCATGCTGCAGCCAGTTACAAGCGGCATACGAGCCCACGGCTGCCAATCGAATATAATTAACAGATTCTTTATCAAGTAGAGAAAGAACCACAATTCATAAATCGATTTATTATGAATAACGGTATATTCTGATTACTATTAATTGCAATATTGCTTGAATAATAAGTTCGTATGACGTCATTATTCCCGACTAATCTATGTTACGACGGGTCATGAGGTTGATATTAGAGACGGTTCACGGTATTAGATTTCGCTGTACGATATGTACAACCTCTAAAAGTCATTAACGCTTTTCATATTTTCGAAAAGTTTGCTTTTATGTTTGTAATCATTTTCTTGCAATAGGCTGTTGATGGCTTGACTATTGCTATTGTCGTCGCTTGGCCTATTTAGGATGATTGAATAAATAAAGAAGTAAGGTTTAGGTGATTTATACCGTCTGCGACATGTTTCCTTTTCTACTTTACCATTTGACTAATGCTGCCTCTTTCTCCAATATCGTTCCACAAGTCGCCCAACTGAATCTTATAATACGTGGGTATCCAAATACATAATCAATATTAGATTTCAACCATGCCATCGTATTTGGGTCTATTAATAGAATTACGATTGAATTAATACGGAAGACGAGCTTGCTAGCGCGCTATCAGCAGCTATTACTGTTTACCACTTGGGTATCCTGATCCGAATATTCTGGATGTGTTCACTTTTTCCACAAATGCCCAATGTTTCATAGTGTGATCCCGGGTTATTTTGGCGCATATGCTTGCAGCACTAACAATTGGATACTTGCTATCTGCTTGCTTAGAAACCGTTATATCAATGGACGGAAATAAGGTCGATAACTTTTTCTGATATGACTCTGGAGGACCAACTGTGTCAACATAAACCTGTAGCACACAGAAGTGACATACTGTAAGTCCCATTTGCAATATTAATGATCAATACAAGAGTATTAATGACAATTACATGTACCTCTCTAAGATTAATTCCCATTGACAGGACTTCTCTAATGAGGTTGATTGTTGCATCGTGCGCTTGGGCGTTCAGATTGTATTTGGATCTGAAAGAGAAGTAACGTGCAAGCATGTCAAGTCAGACAGTATTTATGTCTCTCAAAAGATTATAGGACTTCTATTATTCCAAAAAGCGATTCATATGACGTTCGATTACTTATTGAGCATGTTCCACGAAATTTCTTGAGGTGAAAGTACTCGCACGCTCCATCCAATGATGTCATTACGCGACTGGATCAACGTAAAATGTGCCTCTCGATCCGTCTCCTTCAAAGTCTTCGAGTCTATTGTTCCCAAATTACGCCAATGTTCAGCTTGTCTTATCGTTATACTCCAATTCGCGATCAAGTTGATACTACCTACAAATCCAAGTGTAGACACTTCCTTATATTTCGATAACGGGCAGTAACAAACTCCATATACCATCGGACCTATTCATTAAATAACAGTCTATTAATTCGAACGGGAAACACAATTGTTAAATCATTAAGTCTAACCAAGGACGGGGCCTCTTCCTGCTTCATCAACACCCAATATATGTGCTTCACCCATATTCGAATCGTGAGGTTTGGGTGAACAGTACGTATACGAATGAGTTAATGGACCATGATTGACAGAAGGAACTGCGATAATGGGAGTTTCCATTGGTCGCTAAATTGTTGCATTCAACGGCGTTCGCGTTCTGTTCAACTACCCAAGATCTTCAGAAATTGGTTACAGTAACGTGACCGCATGTACGACGTCTTCAGCTTTGAAATGTTGTGTCGCAAACAGAACCCCATTCCGAAAAGGCCTCTGCCACAATAATTAATATGGAGTGCACTCACCATAGCTGGTTATAACGAATTCTACGGGACCAGAGAAAATATTCCTTATAACCAGAAATTCCTTATAATGAAGGATACTTTTTATAGTGAAGATTATAAGTATTGATAATTAGGTTCATTATATCCAGATTGCTAGAAACCGATGGTTTTTAT